GAGTCAAATTACGCTAGAGGTTTGAATTTGATAATTGATTCATATAGCTAAAATGGATTCGTGGGCGGTCAGGAATCCTTTTTTGGATATCTTTTGAAATCTGTCCTAGGAACCCTATATTTGCCCTACTACTGTTCAGCCACTCTGATTTTAATAGTCATTATGAGGATTTGCTTAAGTAATTACCTCCATCTGTAAAAAAGGATGTATGGTTACAACTTACAACTTGCAAAAATAATCCACTATCTGAGGAACAGGTTAGAGGGATTCATTCAGACATTGAGGAGATGCTTACTAGGAAGGTTAATAGATATTTTAGAAAAAGTGATCATCAAAAGATTAAGATCGAAGCAAATACTGCCTCTGATGGTTCTAGTATCTTATCCTGACTGAATGGATTTGAAAAGCAATTATAAGAGCGTGAGGCCTTACTAAAACAAAAGGAGAATAATATTAAGAAAACCATTAAAGATCAGGTTGCTGAAGAACATAAACGTTTAAAGATAAGTATGATGCTCGTAAGGTTCACTTAGAGGGTCAATATAATAAATGTATAAAAGATATGAAACATACAATATATTCCTTCAAGTATCAGCTAGAAGATCAATAGAAATCCAGCTTAGATAACTTGGAAAAGCAATACAAATCTCGCATCTCTACATTAGAAAAATCTATAGCCGTAAAAGATAAGGAGATTAGCAAGTTGTCCGCTTCTATCTTCCAACTTAAAAATGATAAGAATGCTCTAAAAAAAGACTTCGCTTCTACAAAAAGTCTATTAAAGTATTGGATGGTATTATCTATAGTAAAGATCAGTCAATTATTGCTTATAATGAAGGATTACAGAGAATTAATCCTAGCTGTATAGATGAAACTATAGAACCGACTAGCTTTTATGAAAAAGATGTCAAAGTCTTATGAACTAGATGGCGTGATGATGCTTCAGATGAGCCAGATATCCAAAAAAATATACATTCCGCTCATGTATTTATACGAGTCTTCCAAATACTTCATACCAAAGATAGATAAATAGGTACAGTATTTTTTTATTCATTCAAAAAAAATATTTGAACTATCACTATACTATATAAAATCTTTTTTATTATGAAATCAGAAAATCATAGATTGCGACGTCAAGTTGCTGACTTGCAATATGAGAATACATATATGCATAAAATTACAGAAATGCAAGGTAATATTATCTTTCTAAGAAAATAAGTTTCTGATCTTAAAAAAGAGAGTAAAAGGCTTAATCAACTTATACCTATATATAGCGAAGAATTAAGCTTTGAAGAAGAATACTATACAGCGGATGAAGGATCGGATAATATTGATTGAATATGTCAGTATTGTAAACAAAGCTTTAAATATCGATCTATGCTTAGACATTATTTAAAGTTAAAAAATAAATGTGGCAAACAGTTTTCAAAATACTCTAAGTAAATAAATCTATATCATTAATAAGCGAATGGGTACTGTATTATTTTAAATGTAGACTCAACTCTACTTTAATTAACTTTGCTAATACTCAATGAAGACTCAATATTTCTTGACATAGATTCAACATTACTTGGTGTAGACTCACCATTAATCTAACATTTAATTTTTTTATGACGTAAAAATAAATAAGGATATATCAACTCCTTTTCGCAGTATTGACATGTCTGATCAGCTAGTTTTTTTTACAAGCTCTGGTTCCTTTTTCACAGTAAAGATATTACACTAAGATTTGTGAACTGATAGGGAAATAGTAATAGTCTTTTCATTACATGTAACCTTAAATTCTTCTTTTATTAAAGGCTCCCACTCAGCTCGATATTGCCATTGAGTTGAGAATTACTAAACATTTAGCATTTTCATTATGATCTATTTCTACAGGTACAACAGAAAATTCATCCATAATAGACGCTGTATTTTCTTCAGAACCAATTATTATAGGAACATTATCTATAGTGCTAGTGGATATGGATTGACTTGCAACCCCATTAAGCCTATGAATTTTTTTCCTATTAATTTTAATACTTAAAAGCTCTTCGATAAGTTTAGCAATATCATTCAAAAATATTGAAGAATCGGAGCCTGTATCAATCATTGCACAAGGTATTACTAAACCTCCTATTTTGCAACAAATAGTCGCAATATCATCAGTATCCTTTATTTGTAAAAAATTTATTCTAAGGGTTTCGGCCAATATATTTGATTATTTTTTTTTCAGCCGAATAATATTGTGCATATGCTTTAATAGCATGGTTTAGAGTATTAGAACCCATTGGTATTATATCATTTATGGGATCATCTAATTCAGTCCCTCTAAGACCCTTTAGCTTCTCTTCTATTAGGACTTGAATAAGAGGTTTTTGCTCTATATTTGTAGCTTGGATTAACTGATGTAAAACATCTATAATTTTATTTGTAATATGCCCCATACTTTTTCCCTTTTCATGACAGTATCATTTTTCATAGCCATATTTAGAATCTGATCTTTAATTTAAGATATATTGTATTAATATATTGAGAACTTTCCTTAAGAATTTCTTTAGGAATATGTTGTACAACTGATGATAATATAGATTTTAAGGCTATTAGAAAAATATAATCTACAATCATATTTATAGGTAATAAGGATTCTATTTTTTTACAAGACTTGGAAATAGGGAATTCCTTCTTGTGAGTCTTTTTCATAGGTACTGCACATCGTATCACTTTTTTTTATAGCATAGCAGTTTCAGTCAGAGGTATTTAGGGTAGATTTATCATCATCAACATATTCGACATCTTCTTCTACTTCCTCCTCAAGTACATATTCTATTTCAGGCTCTTCAGAATCATCAGGGGGTTCTCTTATGACCGGATCTTTCTCAGCATTCTGGTATACATAATCAACCTTTTTAGTCTTCTTAACTTCAGGACAATTAATCTTTGTATAACCAGCCTTTCTACATACTAAGCAAAGATAAACAATTCATTTAACTGGTGCTTTTTGTTTTACTTTTCTAATAGCTTTCTTTGTAGTATTTATATTTCTAACCTGTGATTCTGAAAAGAAGCTTCTTTTATTATGTAAGTTTGTTTTATATCCTAGCTTTTTAGTAAGTTCCTCATAAATAAAATGCTCTAAAATATTGATATCAGATGTTAATCCTGAATATTGCAAATCTCTAAAGAGCCGATTTGTAAAAGTAATTGTGTTTTTACCTTCGGTAGATAAATCCTTTTGTGGAATAGGCGCAATCTTTTGAGGTTGAGGTAGTATAGGTATTTAACCTGTATTTACACTTGGATTACGTTCTAACCACATATCTTTTAATTGTATAAAAAATGCATCTATACCACCAGGATCAGCTATTTTCATTTATGTAAAAAGATCACCTGATAAGTGACTTTTAAGAAAGCCTAAAACTTGTGCATTATTATTTGCAATACCTAATAATAAAGTTAAATTCTTTTTTCATATGTATCAGGTTCATATGCTTCGCTCTAAATTTATTCCTTGAGTTAGTTTTATCTCTAATACTATTTCCAATGAAGTACACAATGTGGATGTACTTTATACATGATATATTAAGTCAAGACGAACAATCTATCTTTTTTACCTTAACTTAGTTGATATAGCTTCAAGATATAAAGCATCTATTCCTATTAGTGTAGCACTTGAGTAATATGAATAGTTGTAGAGTATGACTGGAATGTTGAGTAGAGTATGGTCATGTGAAATGATCTACAACTGAGTATGATACTAATGAGTATGTGTAATACAAAATTATCTAATGATCTGATAATCAATCGTAATACAGTCAAAAATTTTTCGTGTTAGAATATCATATATCAAAGTTCGCGTTGAATATTTGTTTTTTCAAAGACTCTTTACAAAAAGTTTTCGTGTTCAAATACCATTTATCAAGATTTACGTTAAACAATTATTTTTTAAAGAAATAATTTTGATTTACAAAAAAATTTTCGTGTCAAAATACCCTTTTGCCAAAACTTACGTTAGATAATTTGTTTTTTAAAGAAATATTATTAACCTATGGATACTAATTTTGTTAATGAAGAAGATATCATTTATGAAGAAGATCTTAATATGAAGATAACTTGATTTTATATTTGATCTATAATTAAAAAGCAAATGATATAGTAATAAATTAATAATATATTATATAATTTAGCTGGATAGTAATATATCTTCACCTGAACTTGAAAATAATGAATTATATATTACAAAGTATATAATAGTTAAAACAATTATTTATTCATTAACACCAATTGAATATCCGCCAACAAGTGAAGAAGGTGTTGCTATCATTTATCATATTCAAGAATGGAATTATAAAGAAGCTGCATTTACAGATGTAAATATTATTATTAATATATTATAATATTTAATGTGAATAACAATTAATTTAATTAATTTGCAAATTTCAAAGATTCAGTATTCTATAGGCAAATCTTGTGGAGGAAATAATACAATTTATTTCTATCTTGGCGATGTTGCTATAACAAAAAAGATAGAACCTGTTAGGGGTTAAAAATATGCGAGTTTGCTGATCAAGAGTTTAAGAAAATGGAGCATGAAACGGTAGATCCTGATTCAGATTTGTGCTTAAAAATAAATAAGGAGTTAACATCAAATAATGTGAAAAATAATACATTTGCGTAAGTATTCTTTGCCTGGTATAATTTTCTAATTTATAGCTATTAACATGTTTAAATTTAAATTTAAATTTTAGCACATATTTGGCAGCATACAAAACTAAGTGCTGATATGTAGAAAATGAAATGCAATGTACTGGAAAACTAGTACTAAAATGCTTACGACGACATGATGAAACAACTTCACCAGTTTACTTTATTAGTTGCATCAGATGGAAACCAAATGAAAAATTTCATCGATATATTAGTCTTAAAGAAAATATAAATATTGATTTGCTTTGCCAACTTCTGAACGGATTGTATGAGGTAAATATAAGTTATTAAATTAATTTTTTATTAATTCATTTCATTAACATATATGTAGGGAGAATCAGATGAACCAGTAAATAATTGTTTTACAGTATTACTTAATAGTTCAAAGAAAATACATTGTCATAAGTATTAAATAATATATAGTTTAATTTAAAGTTTACTGCTAAATTATTAATTTTTTTAATTTTTTTTTTTTGGTAGCATATCCTCATTGCATAGGAAATATAATTAAACAGGGTTTTATTATTCAAAAGAAATGTCAAGTTAAATTTTCTAAAATAGTTCCAATTGACATAAAAAGTTGTCTATATATTATTCTTGTATTAAAGGGTATTCATTCCCATCCATTACCTCTGCCTAATCATGTACCAATTACTATTCGTTCTCGATTACAAGAATTAATCCATCAAGCTGATACTAATGCAACAGATATTACACCAACACAAATAATGATAAGTGATTAATTCATACACATGCATATTTAGTATTTAGTAAATTTTAAATTTAACATTTTTTTTATTTATTAAGAAATTTTATTAAAACTTAGTTTGGAACTGATTATTTAGCTGAAGTACAGTGCCCGGCAAGAAGTCACCGGTCACGTAATTATCAATCATTATTTGTTCATCTTTAAAACCTGTTATCTCAGCCATTTTCTTATTAATACACCTCTAGTTTTTTGCCACGTA